GGAGTTTTTCCTCTTAACTGTCGCTACAAGCATGCTTAGTGTGAGGGATTGCTGAAGAGTCAATGAGTCGATGCAATTTGCTATAGAAATAAACTGAAGTTTTCATACAGATTTTATGGGCCGGCCTTTAGCGGTCATTAAAGGGGAATGCCGTATTTTTTTTACATTGGTCCCTTGATTTTAGGTTATTCCATCATGTTCTACTCACCCATATGAGTTTTGTGTCATTTGGAGCCGTTCTGAAGATATTCCAGATTTTATACCCTTAATTTGTCACAAATATTAGTTTTAGGTGTATTTAAAGAATAAAGTAGATCTTAAAGTCTACAGGAAAATGTCCTTCCAGAGTTTTTGGAGCGGCAGAGCTCTGCGCCTCTAGGCTGCTCTGCAGTGGGTTTCCCCTCTCGCCGTTGCCATGGTGTCATTCAGTCACTCACTGATTTGTTTACGGTGGTTGAAAGTGAGACAGGGAGTGTTTAGTTTGCATTCAAGCTGTAGTGTTTTCAACCAGGCAGGTATTGCAATATAGCTGAGTAAATAAAATAAACATTCAACACAACGAAGAGGAATCAGATTTGCTCTTTTTATCTCAGCGTTCAGATGAAACTGCTACATCTTAGCATAGCTATTAGCCTAGCATCTTCCATAAAACAGCTGATTACTGTTAAACCTTTGGAGGATTTCAGAGTGACTCTGGATGCTGTGTTCTGGATCCAGCTCCCTTCCTGGGTGACGGAGGGCATTAGGTTTGCCTCTAGTTGCTCTAGCTCTATTCCTAGTCTCCTAATTTCCTAAATATCTACTTGTTTAAAAACAATTTGAATATAATATGACTGATCTCATATAGCATTTGTTGGATAGGCAGCCATTGTGTCATTAACTCATCTGTTTTTCTTTAATTAGCAAAAAGTCAAATTCTTTATGTTATTGTGATTTTTTATAAATTTAATTTAGCTGATTTTTGCTTTCAGGTTTTTCTATCATTGATCGTATATTCATTAATCTTATATGAAAATAAGATTTTAGCACCGCAGACACACAGACTGAATAGTAAAGCTGATAATAGATTGAAGTAGAAGAAACAGGACATTAATGAGACGTAGTGTTGACAGTCAGACACCATGATGGTACCTTATTCATGCTTCTCTGTCCTGGAGGCTGTAACTGAGAAGTAAAAACTATCTTTGCGAACAGACAAAGAGGGAAGGTGACATGAACGTGGAAACAGCCTGATTGTGTTCTTGTGACAACCTGAACAAAGATTCATGCATCTGCAAGACGATTAGGGGATAACCGGGACCGAGCTGAATAAACCAGGCTAAATGTGCTGATGTACTGGAAGGGAAGTTGATCTTATATTAGCCTCAAGGATGGACACATATCTACGATTAGGGCCGGGCTAGAGATACTTTTAAAATACAAGAATAAAATCATAACAAAGACGACTGCAATGTACTCTGTTAAAAACGTGCATCATCTTCTAACTGGTAGACCAAACCCAGAATTCAGCAGCCTTCTTCTGGCCTCCCTCCACTGGCTGACTGTGCATTTTAGATTTTAATGTTTTTTTTCTGATTATTTGGATGACATTTTTTTCTTTTTTCTTCTTCTCCATTCCTACCTACCTTCGTGGCCCCGTGGGTCAAATCCACAGCAGCTCCTGCATGTGCTGAGGTCTTAAATGAAGCTCAGGGGGCGGGACCAACTTTAAATACATTCTGTTGTCCATAATGAGATTTTATTTGATCTTTTTGTTATACATAGTTTGTTGTTCTTTTAATGCACAGTTTAAAGCCTGCATCCTGACTTTGTTTTAGCTGTTGTTAAAGCTCTTTCTAAATAAAGTTGGTAATTTATGTTATGTTGTGGTCTGATTCAGTTAGTGCTGTGTGGTATGGTTTGTGTGATATGGTAGAATTAGTGTGGTGTGGCAAGGTTAGTGTTGTTATTACGGTTAGTGCAGTGTAGTAAATTTAGTGCGGTGTGGTATTTTTTGTGTGCGGTGTGTTACGGTTAGTG